CGCACAACATGATCTACTCGACCACCATTATGGCTACCGCAAAAAAAAAAACCGGAGGTAAAAAAAACAAACGGTAACCTGGTTGCCGAGTTCACGCAGTGAATTGGCTTGTCTTACAACGTCGTTGCCAAGCGACGAAAACCCAAACCCGATGGCAAACACCGGGGGGGGCTGCTTGTTTTACAACGTCGTTGCCAAGCGACGAAAACCCAACCCCGATGGCAAACATCGGGGTAGTAGGGACCCCTGCAGGGGGGGGAGGCTTTTCGACCTCACCGTTACGAGATGCCGTTTACACGCGTTCGCCCGCCCGTCAGGCGTCCAAAGCATCAGAGTACCATGGCCGACATGGTGTATTGATTTTTTCATCAGCCCCTTCGCCTTTTTTTATTATTGTTCGTTGCAGGGCGGTACATGCACGAGCAGCCTAGCGGTTAAGGGACCGACCTCCTCGTCGCCGCAGCGGCTCACGGCCGTGGGTAGCGATAGCGGAGTGGTGAACGTCTACAACGACGACGCTCTGGAGGTACCGTACAGTCATCCCTCGGATAAGGACACCGTTTTTAAGAACACTCCCCCGGTTAAGAACAACCTTTTTTTTGCACAGGCATGGTGGCTCGCACAATGTACAACACTAGGAGGGGCATCAACCTTAATGACACTTCACCGCCGGCTTCAGGGCACTTGTTCAAGAGAAGAGCCACGTGTGTTCTTGGCCGGGGAAACGACTCGACTGTACATATACAGTCGTGGCTCGGATATAAGAGGGTACTTATAAGAGGGGGCTCCGATACAAGAGGGTGGAGGGCCTTTGTCACACCACCCTCTTATATCGGAGCCACGAGTGTAGATCTTACGCGTGCTTGATGTTTCTGATGCAGATTCGTCTCAGTATTCTTGACGATGACCGGCGTTATGGTGCGCTTGTCGTGTTTGTGATACTCATGGCTGTCAGTGATTTGTTTTCCGTGAGTCGAGCGGAAGGGCCAAGTAGTGTTGCGGACCCTCTGGATTCTTTTGCTCGTGGTAGAGGACATTAGCGCCCACAAAGTTCTTATACTTGGTATGTATGTTTTATTTTATTATGTTTTTTTCTTCAAAGCGCTTTCTTGGTTTTCCTCAACCAACGACAGAGGTAGGGAAATTCCCACCTTTGACAGAGATCAGATCCGGTGATCAAGGCTTGCGATGTATACGTGTTCAAGGTCTCCGCGAAAAAACTGCGACGACGAGTAGAAACTGACCTTTGATGCACACAGTTCGCCATGGTACACGCGACCGGGCTCGGGTCGTCTCTGCTCCTGCGAACTCGTGCCCCTCTACGCTTCCATGGCAAAATGCTCTGCTGCACGCACAAGTCTTCGTCTTTATTATTATTCCCCTCAATGATGGTCCGGCCGCGTGCCCCTTCCCATCGAACGTCTTCGCTCGTGCTTTTTTGTTGTGGCAATAGACCGGCAAGAGGATTCTTCGGCCATCGCCGCTGAAGGCAGTGATGAGCCTGACGACACCGGTGACCACGACATTGTTCAGCCCGGATGGACAGGTGATGTATCCAGTCCACAGTTTCGCGTGATTTCATGCACAGCGGAGTACACCCACTCCATCCGCTGCTCGGTCTTCCAGGAAAAGTCGAATGCGGCTTCTCTAGGTTCCACGAGACCTGTTGTTCCAAGTCACACGACGGGAAACTGTATTCACCACCGTAGTTGTGGGGAGTGTTTTTTTCAATAGCCCTCTCTAGGTGTGGAGCCGTTTGGTGTTAGGCCTGTCCTCCATCGGCCGCGGCCGAAAGAGCCGATTTCTGAAAATTTCGGCCGGAAAACGGCCGCAAAAAAAAACGGCCGATTTTGCAAACAAAGTGGCCGATTTTGCAAACAAAGCAGCCGATTTTGGCCAGGGGATAGCCGAATGTCAGTCGGCTACGGCCGATTCCTAGTCGGCTACGGCCGATTCCAAATCGGCCACGGCCAATGTCCGATTTCAATGGGCCACCCCCCTCCCCCCCCCATAAATTCAATGTTGTGGGGAGTCCTACGTACCTACCTACCCTTTTCGAACATTTTTTCACTTGCGCGGTGGTCTCCGCGTCTCCGCACTTGAAAAAAAAAAACACACAAAAAACTTCCAGCTTCCAGCTCGCCCATAGCTCGCAGCTCGCAGAGATGAAACACGAAAGAGTAGGCTTCGGAGGCGTATGGTATGAAATAGTACTCTTTTTCTCAATGATGACTAGTGATAAACCGGTGCATTACTGCGACTAGACAGAGTTATTTACTTCCAAAGAACAAAGATAAATGGACGAGCCCCGATCCATCTTGCGCAACAAGCATAGGATGCACGAGAGGGTGTTAAAAGGGTACCTGAACGGGCTAGTACGGGCACACACTGGGGTGGCCGAAAAAAAAAATGGGGTGGCCGAAAAAAAAATGGGGCGGCCGAAAAAGGAAAAGAAGCGGCCGAAAGAGAAAAAAAAAGCGGCCGAAAAAGGAAAAAAAAACGGCCGATGGAGGACAGGCCTATTTGGTGTGCGTTGTCCAACTCATCTTTGTGTTCAGTGTACCCATCTTTGCTTGGTTGACACCGCGCGCCTCTGTGATTCGCCTTTATTCACGCCCATTCACGCCCTCTCCTGCAAGAGCTTACATATGTCAGGACGCTGCTGGTCGTCTCTCGCTAAGAGCGGTGCGCGCCGAAAGGACGTGATCATCCCCTCGCTGTCTTGTTTCGCTGAGACTGTCGAGAGCTGAAATGAACGCTCGCTCGCCGCTCTCCTCACAATCCACAACCCAGATGCTGGCAATCGCGTCCAACCAGAAGCGGGATGCGCTCAAGGTTGTTCACTCTGCGTCGTGCACACCGTTCACGAACTGGCCCACGGAGAGGACGCCCGTCCGGTACCCCTTCGCGCTAGACTTCTCCCCCGGGGGCGGGTTTCTTGCTGTCGGGAACGACCGCGGTTGCGTGCTGCTCTACCGCATCCGCCACTACCCGCAAGCGTGATTTATTGGTATTTTCCGTCATGCTAGGCTAGAGGAAGGGGTGGTTTTTGTTTACTTGTGTGGGTTCGTCCGCCCTCTTGATTGTCTGTACTCTACCCACGAAGTGCCGTCACCCCTTTGTTGTTGGGATATAGCATACGCGGCACTGCCAACCTGATGGTGTTCACTGTTCGTGCATGGAATGAATGCATTCGCACTCGATGGGCGTCGACCATTAAACAAGAAAAAAAGGCATGCGTATTTACGGCGCCGAACGACTTTGTTCTGAGTGCTGCAGGAAAGAGAGACTAACGTTGTCCTGTGTGGGCTTCACGGACGAGTATAACTTTTGTCAGGGTTGAAGTTGTGGGGTTGGGACAGAAGGAAAGGGCGCTGAGGAGAGTCTTCCCTCACGCGAAACGTAAGTGTAGCTGAAACGATTCAGGTTGGTTGGAGACGTCCTCCGGACTATGCGCGATGGCTATACACGAGAGCGTGTGCACGCTCTGACCATGCGGCAATCTGGTCCTGAGACGTGTTTCGTTTCTCGGGAGGGCAGAGGGAGGGGTGTCAAAGCGGCGGAATTTGGGGCCAAAAAAACGTCCGGTCCATTCGGCAAAATTTGAGGGGGGCACGCGGATTTGGTTCTATTTTTGGTTCTTGAGAATCCCGCTGTCAATACTGAATAAACTATAAATCAAGTCAATTTGGTTGTGCAGGCAGCTCTGCGTCCAGACAGCAGCATGGCTCTTCATGCGTTACACAACTTGGACACAGGTCCACTAGAGGTGACTGTAGGGTCGGTTTTCTCTTCAAGTTAAAGGGCGGACGAACAACACCAAAAAACATGTTTTTTTGGGCTCGTTGCCCCACGCCCAAGGCGACCTTTGCTCTTCTCGTGAAAGCGACCATACAGCCCTCTACCTTGGGTTTACAGCTATACCACACAACAAACCGCATCCAAATTGCATCAGCCAACCACGAGATCTACATGTCTGAAAACGGCCCCTCCAGTGGGGCTGCAGCGCCCACACCAGCAGACCCTCCCGAAAAAAAAATCGAGGTCCGCGCCGTTCGGCAGCAGGAGGTGCGCTGCGCGAAAGCTGAATCAAAACAACATAAAGTTTGAAGAGAGGACGGGGCAGTGTATGGTTGCCGCGTCAGCGGAAGATAACACGCGGCACGCTATCAAACGCGGCAGCCTCACCGTCGTAGAGAGAACGCTGGAGGAAACGAAGGAGGAGTTGGTCAAAAGTATGAAAGTTGTGGAAGAGAGCCAGACTCAACCTCGCTGCCGCCGCCGCCGCCGCTGCTGCTGCTGCTGCTGCTGCTGCTGCTGTTGTTGCAGCAGCAGCAGCGGCGGCGGCGGCAGGTATCTGCGTGGCTTCACCGCCCGGCTGCTGCCCGGGTGTGTCATGAGGCATGTATTCTAGAGTGGGACCGCGCAATGGTGTTGTGCTGTGCCCCATTGCAGGGCGCAAAGTACACAGGCGTGCCGCGCCCTCGCGCGTGTGCGTCAGAGGTCAGAGGGTCTTTCGGTTCCGTGTAATTTCATTGGTTGGTCGATTTTCCATCAGCAAGATCCGAGGACGCTTTTTTATTAGGAAATTTGCTGCTTTGACACCCCGGTGACGGTGCAAGCGATGCTCCTCATCGATCTTGTGGCATTCAATTTGGTGACCTCGAATGGTTTTGATGGGATTGCCTCAACGTCCTTCGAGTCAGGCCAGTCGAGGCGATCGTCTGGGTTGAGATTTCCCGGACGTTGCGAGAAAGGCCACGCCTATTCGATATATTGGGGGTACTCGTGGCACAGTATGACGGGATATCTTCGGTACGCACGTGCAGAAATTGCAGTAATGAGATTCGGAGGAATCAGAACGTTCTGGGTATTTTCCTTGGAAGTAAGAAGATGGAGGTTCGTTCAGAGAGATTCGTTTGGTAGTTCGAGCGTGATGAGCGTGCCTCATGCCGTGACAGATTTACGAGCGCGAGCAGGCCCCCGAAGAATACAATACGTTTTCCCAACACGTCCCTACCCATCCACGTCCTGTCCTGGGCTAGCCGCTCTACACTCCCAACGCAAAGAACTGAGCCACCCGAACTACCGATCACGCTAGCGTATGACACGTCGTCTACGAGATTCGCGGTCGATCTTGGTTTAGGAGCATCGCTTTGCGGCGATCGAGAGCAGGGTCAAGATGGATGGCGCCAGGTGCGAAGAAGAAGCCCGCCGAGCAGCGAAGAAAGCAGCGAAAGACGCCCGGATCGACGACCTGGTGAACGAGAGAGTAACAGCTACCCAATTTCGGATGGAGCAGCTGATGGAGCAGAAACTGGCCGAGAAGATGGCCGAGATGGACGTACGGCAACGGGCCGAGCAGCAGGGCACAGAAGATCTCCAGAGCGGGACCGAGGAACAAGGGGCACCACCCAGCAGCAAGCTGGGAGCCCATCGCCCAACCCCTCCGCCGAAGATCTGGCCAACGCGATCGCGAATACCATTGCCGGCCACCTCCAGACCTCATCCGGCGACATCGGTGCAGTACCCCACTCTGGGACCCTCCGCATGGCTGAGTCTAGACGAATTGCACGTTGGGATGGGGTGTGTTCAAGCAAGAAGGGGACGATTTACACCAGAAGCCCTTGATTTTCAAGTGGAGCATGGTAGCACCTTTTGCGCAGGAAGGAGTGCACGAGGTTGTAATGAGTGATGAAGACATCCCTGTAGGCAAGCATAGAGCCAATGTGGCACAACTCCGAACGCAGTTTGATAACTCAAGATAGCCCAGGCGACAATAGCGGCATGGAATTTGCTGATTACATCGATCTCATCCATCCATGCCAATCCTATCAGAGATTGCATGGGACTGTTGTCTCCAGGTTCGCGTGTGAGCAAGTTCCCTTAGGGATGGGCGGTGTGGATACACACCGGATCAACCTCTGGTGGAGAGGCTGATGTACGGAACGTGGAGTCGAGTGTGTGTGTGAGGCAGGTGGGGATCAACCTTGTGTTGAAGCAAGGTTCAGCATCCAACCTGCACTGACTCTATCTGTGGTAACACCCCGAAGGTAGATCTCCGACAGGTCATCTGACGTCACAATCTACGACAGTCTGAGGTGGCATTCACATCACCCCCCTATCTTCAATCTCGGGGCCTGAATCCGGATTGAAAGATACAAGAATGACATAAATACCTCAGATTGTATGAAAATGTGGAGTACTGATGATGAGTTAAATGACTTGGGCCGAAACGTACGGCGACTGCCATCATTCAACGAACGCTTTGTGTATTGTAGTGATGAAATTTGGAACGTGTCACCAAAATATCTCATCCGAGCATCGATCGTACATAGCGCAGTCACCACCACAGCTTGCACGAGAGCAATTCAGGAATTTTGGCAACTATTCCCGTACGACGAACGAATAACTACACAGATGACGAAAGGTGTACGGAACATGTCACTTCAGTCCGCCTCGGCGCTGTAGGCAACATGTGATCTACCGTACGACGAACGACGTGTGTACAGAAAAAAACATCACTCCGGTGCGCGTCTTGCACCGATAGTGTAAAAAAAACTGTACAGTAGTACCTTGAGACAACGCCGTGAACTGCTTGGTAATTGCACGTAACGAACATCCAGCAACGAAAAATAATTTGACATTGCACATGTGAAAGACGGTTGCTTGCAAGGCTTAAATTTCACAAGTGTCGAATGGCAAATGACGTGGGTCGACCCGCTGGGAAAACGTTGCTCAAACGATATGCAGCGGCAACAACGAACGAACATATGTGCACAGCTCGTGGAGAGCTAACGATGCGACCTTCTCATGCGATCGCGCAAGTGAGAGGTGCTGCATAGTTGAACGACGACGAATGGTGACTACGAGTACAGCCAACGATGTGCTGTAGCATGGATTTGACGCAGTAGTGGAACGAAAGTCTGGTCCTCTTGTGCTTCCTCTTGCACGGCCAAGACCACCATCTACTCTTTCGCGATGGACGACACGCGAGAAACGACGTGTGGGATAAAAATCCACCACACAAACGATAAGACAAATCGGGCATGAACAAAACCGTGTGAACAATGCAAAAGTGCATGGATCCAGAAGTCGATTATCAATTGCAATTCCCCCAAACTGCAAGTGAGACGATATCACCCCCCAATTCAGGGTGGAGTGGACAAGAAAACGACGAACTTCCGGTCACGCATATTCGCTCACATAAAGCATCAACTGACCCCATACGACGCACTCGTATCTCAAGGACAGCGACACAACGGCAATGGACGCTTCACACCACGCACGATTGTCTATAACGGACGTACGTTCCAATCATAATTGAAAACGTTTACGGAGCTCGCACGAGGTACTATGTCGTACGGCATTCAAACAGAGAAATATATATAGTGAAAATAAATCACACAACGAACGGGCAACGCCATGCCTTAAAAATGACGTGCGCTAGCATGCATGTCCGACGAAACGAAGACACGCAACCATGCTTGGTTCGCGGAGGGCGAATCTCGACGCAAACTAGGCTCCGCCTGCCGACTTCCACGAGGTGTTGCATCCAACGTGGGCGTATCCACCAACAACGTCAATGTCCGGCCGGACTGCGAAGGAACGTTGGGGACGGCGGGCACTACGAAACGATCGTGCTGGACGACGAACAATAAAATATACGAAGTATGTACATACGAAAATATAAAAAATAAACATAGCCCTTGTAAAATAAACGAAACACGAAACGAATAAGGCAAACGCAGCACGAAACACGATACGAAGCAGCTACGAGTGCTACTTTCTAGGAAGATGATCAAAGGCGTGCGGATTATCACGAAGAACGCACGCTCGATATGAACGGATCATCTCGTGACACTGGGGTACTTCTTTGAAGTGCTTCCAACACCCAAGACTTTCAGGACGGTCTTTGAGGAGGAAATAATATTGGAAGTTATGGAGAGACGGTTTTCCTGCTCCACGTTTAAATTTGTCTATCCCCTCGACGACGTACGGTCCAATTTTACGGTTAACACGGTACCATCCAAATCAGGAATTGGAAGGGTTTGTCCCAAAAACATCTCATCCAATTCAGAAAAATCGGGGACAGAATCACGTTGAAAAGCATAATACTTTTTCATACGACCCAAGTGTACTGACGTTTCCGCGAGTTCTCCGTCTTTGCAAACACGATAGATGACGGGTGATACTTTTGAACGAACGGTGAATGGGCCATGCCAAGGGCTGATCAGCTTGGGATTGGGGCCATCCATAACGGTGTGGGGACGATGTACGAGAACTTGTTCCCCAGGAGTAAACTGCGGTGCGGATAATTTTTCGTTCGAGTCTGCTTGCTTGCCAGTTCGCTCTTTTAAATCACGACGAGCGATCTCATACGCGAGTTGCAAGTTATCCACGGTACGACGTGAATATTCCATACATACGCGAAGCACAGCTATCATGAGACGGTACCCCAAGAATGACATCCACGGGAAGCAAAGCCTGGCGACCAAACATCAGATAGTGAGGAGTTTCCTCAAGAGTTTGGTTGTACGCGGTATTATGGGCGAGTTGCACAAACGATCAAAGCTCAGCCCAATTATCAATCCGAACGTTTGCATACATTGCGAGCATGCCATGCATTGAGCTTTGCACGCGCTCTAATACAGAGTTACCTTGCGGCCGATACGCGGACGTCCGAGTTTTTTTGAAACCAAACACGGCCTGCAACTCTTTAACCAACTCATTCTCGAACTCAGTGCCCTGATCACTGTGTAACGTTTCAGGGGGAGAAAAAACGGAAAAGACACGCTCTACGAGAGCCTGTGCAATTGTTGTTGCTTTTTTATCACGAATAGCAATCAACACGAGAAAACGAGTCAGGTGATCGATGACCGACAAGACGTACTTGCAACCCTGCGATACGGAGTTATATTCAACGAGATCGATCGCGACACACTGAAACGGACGAGTAACGGGACGGTGACCCACCGGTAATAATGGTCGTCTGTGGGGCGTTTTTCGGTGTTGGCACGACAACCAATGCTGGATGTGTTTGGACGCATCTCTAGACATGGTCGGCCACCAAAAACGATCTCTGAGTCTATCGTACGTGGCTTTGAACGCTAGATGACCCCCTGACGCAGGAGCATCATGACAAGAATCCAAGACTAACGCACGCAAAACGGTAGGAACGACAAGTTGATCACGAAACGACCTGCGTTTACGAAGATACCCTGGTACATACGACCTGAACAGAACGCTCTCATTCAAGAAGTAATTACTCATGGTGCCTTTATTTTCGCTAGACGGTAACGGTGCTGTTTTGGGTTTCTTGACGTAGTCGATATACGGACCGAACTCTTTGTACTGTTCTCTTCGCAATTTAGCGGGATTCAGTACAGGAAATAACAATAATGCAGCACTAGCAAACAGTTCGTTGTCATTATGGACGATGTCAACATCGTTCAACGAATCGGCAGAAATTTCGTAGTCACGAGGGCCAGGAGGATGGTACGGACGATCACTCGGCACATTCCTACAAATCGACGCTAGGGCCGGTTTGTGTGATATGGTTTCGGACTCAATTTCGCCAAATAAACGAGATAACGTATCGGGTACGACGTTCAATTTTCCCGCTACGTGTTTGACGGTAAAATCATAATTTTGAAGAGCGATAGCCCAACGAGTGAGCATGTTGCTGGTGTCTTGCATATAAAAAAGATGAGTCAACGCTTGATGATCCGTGATCACCGTAAAGTGTTTCCCAAATAAGTACGGTCGCCAATGCGAAATTGCAAGAACCACACCGCAACACTCTTTCATAGACGCAGAGTAATGACGCTGTCCATGTTTGAATCTATGACTATAATACGCAATCATGTCAAGAGATTCTGGATCAGCCTTGGACGGCTGGGCAAGAAACGCGCCACACCCATGTTCGGATGCATCCACATGAACTACGAATTCCCGATCGAAGTCTGGGAAGTGTAGAACGGGCGCTGAAGTTAATAACCGCTTTAGATGAGCGAACGATGCGTCGTGCGATTTGTTCCAAGCTTTTACGAAACGTGATTTTGTGGCGTACTCTTTGCGAGTTAACTCCACCAACGGATTGGTTATTTCTGCATAATCCGGTACGAACCAGCGCACAAAATTAACCACCCCGAGTACTGAGCGAAGATCTTTCAGGCAACGAGGAGTAG